ATTAATTCCATCAGATCCTTGTGTAGTCTGTGGTACAGATTAATTCCATCAGATCCTTGTGTAGTCTCTGGTACAGATTAATTCCATCAGATCCTTGTGTGGTCTGTGGTACAGATTAATTCCATCAGATCCTTGTTTAGGCTTTTCTTGGAAGTAATCGCATAGTAACACATAGTAAAATTTGATGCATACTTTTATATGCGATGTTGATACCGATTTTAAAAAACTGGAGGAGGAACTGATTTCTATAGTAACTACCAAGTATTTTCTGGTCCTGTGATAAAGTATGTGTTTAGTACGATTAAAACCGAAGTATATATATATATATAGATGCAAATGATAATTCAATTTTTCTTAGTCGTCTACTAGAAATAGGATTACAGAGGTCCTGGCGCGTATTTTAAATATAATTTAAGCTGTGAATAACTCCAGAGAAACATTAATATTATTCTGGACATTTTTTATTCTTAAGAGTAGCCTGTGATGCTACGAAACCGTTTAAATAAAGTTTGTTAAATAAATAACAGGTTGGTAGGGGGAGGAAAAGGTTCGAGGTTTCTTTTATGTGTTTATATTTCTTGATTAAATAATATACGATCATATTAGCAACAGGTTAATTTACGATAATGTTAGAAGACAAAATATTTATTTCAGTATATCTATTTATATACGAATAATCTGCCGATATTGTGAGATTGCGCGCTATTCAGTTTCCCTCTGAGTCGCCTGAATTCTATAAGGGAGATTTTTCAAGTATTTCATTAAACTGTGAGATAGGGTCATCACGGTTTGGTTGTTTGAAAGGAAATGAAGGGAATATAGTTAAGTAAAAGTAATAATAATACGTTAACTTTTATAAAGCTCTCAAAGGTAAATTCGAAAACATAAGGTCATATAACATGGTTTGTGTTCTCTAATATTTCAAAATACTCATGCTACCAATTATTAACAGTGTTCAAAGGATATAACCAAGCAATGAATGGTTTATATTGCTGAATAAACTGAGTGTTTATTGAATCTGAAAATGTAACGTTATATTACTTGCATAAGCGAGGTTCCTATAAAATATGGCCTGTGGTTAGGGGGTGTTCGACTCGCAATTTGAGGGTCGACAAGGTTTTGGTATCTACCTGATGATGACAAAACCTTGTCGAC